TAATGATTTCTAGTCTGCACTTAAACATCTAAACTCCATCAAATTAAACAATAAACTAAACAATAAAATGGTGTACAATTGTAAGGAAACATGCTAACACACCTGTTCTGAAATTCGACGCTTCGTTAGAGGTAGATGAGTTAGATGATGGTGAAGGTACAGTTGTTGGGCTAAGGGTTTCCGTTTCAGGCTCACTACTGGTCCACGTTTTAGTGACTTGTTCGTCTTTATGGATTCCAGTTACATTAGTAAATTGTTCTATTGTAGTTTGTTTGGTAGTTAGCAAGGGACTGGGTTCATCTACTAGAGTCGGTGAGGCTGTATTCTTTGTTCTTTCTGTTGTAGAACTATATGGATATTCTGTGGACGCTTCTTGTATTGTTTCTATGGTTACATGGCTAGCAGAAACTGTTTCAGTAGATGTCTCTGGTGCTCCTGTTTGAAACAAACTTACAGGAGACACGGTATTAATGCTTGTAGTATTTTTTGGACGCCACGTTGTAATATGGGGAGAAGAGGGTGGGAATGTCGTTGATGAAGTATGTTCTCTGTTTGTTGTGTGAGACATTTGAGGAAAACTCTCCGAAGCAGTTGTGAACGTACTAGTAATTTCAGTGTTTTCTGTTTCTGAATTACTCATAATGGAGTTTTCTGTCGATTCTTCAAAATTTCCTTCGCCATTCGGAACTATTGGTTCGATCTCATTAGTCACAATGGAAAATACACCCGCTACACCGGTGACACCTGGTGGTAGTTTGCAACAACTCATGTAAATGAACCCATCCTTACAGGATGCGAGATGCGTTCCGTTGGCAAGACTGCAATACTGTGCAAACATGCATACACCTTTTTGGCGAGTTTTAAAATCTTTACAGGGAAGATAGTCAATAAGTCGACTATGAACTAGGCGAAAAAAAAAACAAAAACGAATGTATTAAATCATTAAAACATACTTTAAACAAATGAGACAGCAATAAAACTACTTTAATTTCAAACTTTATAATAGCCTTTTTATAGCTGTTTAACTACACCGATTACTTATCATCAACTAAGGCTAATAATAGTATTGGGGACTATTTAAATGGTTGTAAAAATCATGATCAATGGTTGGTTGAAGAAAACCAATCGATCATCGATTGATTACATAAGCCTTTTTAAATTTTCAAATAAAACCAAAACTTTTGTAAAGAAAAGAGAGTGGAGTTATTCATATGAATAAACAATGTACAAAAAACAGAAAAAAAGTTTAATTGACTGAGTAGTTAATTAATTCCAAATGATGCATTGAAATAAATAATATCAATCGAATCAAACAGCTGGTTACTGTACCAAATAGTACGGGTTTCTACAAAATCAAACACCTGGTTACTGTACCAAATAGTATGTGTTTCTACAGAATCAAACACCTGGTTACTGACCAAAGAGTACGGGTTTCTACAGAATCAAACACCTGGTTACTGACCAAAGAGTACGGGTTTCTACACTATCTCATACTTACGTTATAACAATTTCGTCACTGGTTTTTTACAATATAGCATATTTTCATTTCATTGCTCATGTTGTTTTAAGGTTCAAGTTGCGCTGTGTCTGCAAGGGTTCGAGCCCCAAATTCTAGCGTTATTAGCATCTCATGCTTATTGGTACATTATTTCTATTAATATTTGTCCAGCCTGACGAAAATTCAACAAGTGTTTAGGAAATACAAATTTTGATTGTAGCTACATCTCATTATCGATTCTGTATAAATTCCAACTGGCCTAAAGTTTTATGTAAAATTTATATGATAATATGTTCCAATATCTAAAAGCTAAGCGGGCATCGAGATTAACCACAAGTTACAACATTTGGAATATATTAGCTAAAGCACGACAAAGCAGACTACTTTCAGTTACTTTTAAATCAAAATTACTGCTTTTCACTGGTTTACAAATTTTTAAAATCTTTATTCAATATTTTGATTATTGAATTTGTTTTTAAATTAGTTACGTAAACCTCTCATAAAGCATATTATTCTAAGAAAGTTGACAGTAAGTACGTGAGCTTCATGCAGAGAATAAATTATGATGAACCAGAACACTGCAGATTTTGTTAACCAGTTGTGATAAATTTAAGTTTATACATCATCTGATACACTAAATGTTCAAGTTCTTTATTGAATAATATTCTTCTAATACACTGAATAACACGTAAACAAACTGTAAAACATGAGAGAGTTATTCGATGCACTTGTCACACTGAAACTATTGCATTAAAAATCATTTTGTAAACGAAATGTTTCCAGTCTTAGAAATTATTAGACAACCTCGAAAAACAAGTTATTTTATCCAATCGTCACTCAGTACGAGACGTTAAAAATCTTTACTGGAAACGCTGCCATTAAAATTAACCGACAAGCCTTCACAAGAATATACACTCAACTTTTCACTGGTACCAAATGAATACTTCTTCCTCCTACAAACAGTTTTCAATTTACATGTCGTTCTGAATGAAATGTATTAAAATGTTTCAGAGAATATGGGCTAAATCTGTTCGCTGCCCGAAGCAGTACGTCACACACACTTGTTAAAAATCGAGTGAAAACTGCAGATAAATAACCCGTTTAGCACTGTTCCAATGCCGATCGTGCTCACACACAAAGCGGGACCGTCAAATACTGGCATGCGGAAAACAACATTTGGTTATAGCGGCCAAGGACTCGGTCGTTCACCTTGGCAAGTGCTCTACCTCTTTCCAGCTTAATAGTGTAGCAAAAAACGTCATTGATTTTTTAGTAGGAAGTAATTTTGTGAGCTCTTCCTGATCGGGATGTTATATCGCAACCAGATCATTCTTAAGCAACTTATATTTAGTAATATTAATTTCACTGAAACTGTGTTAATGAGAAACTGGTTTGAAGCTTAATCAACTAAGCATAATAATATTGAACAGCTTTTTTGTTGCTTAAACTTAATTTTATTGTAATTTGAAAATTGTATATGTTTCGTTGGTAGGACCGGTGTTAAGGATAGAGAACATAGAGGGCTGCCTGCCGCACCAAATTCTAGGGGGGTTTCTCCTCTCTTGTGAGCGAGAGAGCTAAGCTCTTCATGCCATTTCACTTTTCAGAGGGCCCCCCCAGTGGCACAGCGGTATGTCTGCGGACTTACAACGCTAGAAACCGGGTTTCGATACCCGTGGTGGGCAGAGCACAGATAGCCCTTGTGTAGCTTTGTGCATAATTAAAAACAAACAAATACTTTTCAGAAAATTCATGCACCACCTAGCTTTAAATTATACAATCCACAAATTGATATTCTTAATATTATTATTGCTAATCTTCATATTTGGCCTGCCTCCTGTGGCACAGCAGTATGTCTGCGGACTTACAATGCTAAAAACCGAGTTTCGATACCTGTGGTGGGCAGAGCACAGATAGCCAATCGTGGGCTTGTGCTTAGCTTCAAACAAACGTATTTGACCTATGTCTCTCGTAATATTACTGGGTTACAGCTGATATTGTACCTTTTACTGATGTACGTTTTGTTTACTGAATCTTTATATATTGTACGGCTCTTGTAACTTCGTACTGTACAGTAACCCTATTTAACTATACTATAACGAACAGTAACTTCTCTGTTGTACATCCTGTTTTTTATTGAATAAGTTCATTTTCTTTTTTACACACGTGTTATATGTTCATGTTAAACAAGACACACTCAAACGTTTTACATTTATGATAAATTCTACTGACTTTAAATCACTGAACACATAAATTCAGGCATCTTGAACAACAACTCTTAAAATATTATAGTTAATAAGATTATATTGAAACAGCATTTGTTAGAAAATTAAAAATAATTTGTAAACATATTTGGAAAAATATATGGAAATAGGTGCGTTTTTGGTACTTTCCTATTGTGTCTATAATTCACTAATTTGTTTGATAATATACTGTTTAATCTATGATTTGAAATCGGACACTGAACTTAGAATTAAACAACTGCTTTACTACGAGGAGATGCATTTTTAGCCCAGGTGCTTAGAACCACTGCATCAAACAATTCTTAGATAATTCTACTTACGCGGTCGGAACCACGACCCTTGAACAACTGTCTCACAGATGAGAGCGATGAAAACAATGGCTGTCTTCATAATATGCAATTTCCAATATCGGTCTCAAATTACTTGTCTTTTTTGGCAAGCGCCTAACAGCCTACTAAGGCGAAGAGAGAGTTCGGCAACACTTGAAGAATCAAATACCCATGTCCTGCCAAGAAAACAACTAATGAACTTGACTAGTAGAATTCAGAGTTGTTCCCACAGAAATGCGTCTATCTAGAACAGGACACGGACGAAAGTGGTTCCCCTCCACCGGGTAAAATATAATTATTCATGCAAGCGCTGCCTAAAGGCTAAACTTCTAGTTTCAACAGCAAAACTGCCGCTTTCCGTATCCTAGCAACTTAGTTGTATCTCTAGCTGAACTAACAAAGAGTTGGAGCCAGACGATTCACTTAGCGTTACCTATTCGTTTATCTTATCTTTAAGCGAGAGTGTGGACGCGGTTAAATAAGGTATATTTTCTTGAAATTATAGTTTAGATTTATTCTTCTCTTACAATAATGGTATAACCAGTTATTACTGTGCAATATTGTTTTGTTTGTGTCTTATTTAGTGTAAGCGGGTTTTAATTTGTATTGTAAAGCAGTATGGTCTCGTACACTTATTTTGTAATGGCATTCATTACATCTTGAAAATAGGCCCGAAATATGGAAATAAATTAATAACACTGTTCCCTGTTGTTTAAGTTTCTAATTTTTATTTATCACTTTTTTTTTTCTACTTGGGCTCAGCATGGTCCAATGAAGAGCAAACCGAAGTAATTGATCTGTGGAACTTCGTTCACGTTCCATTACAGCAAAAAATAAAATAAAAAAAAGATTGCTCCCCGAACTTTGCAGTTGGTGCTCTATAAGAGTGACCATCAAATTCCAATATTCATTCACACACGAGTTGGCGGTGAGTTTTGTTAACTAGCTTTCTTCCCTCTAGTCCATCAGTTCAAAATTAGGGACGGGTAGATAGCTATTTTGCAGCTTTGCACAAATTAAAAAAAAAAGCAAAACACTTTTCTGTTCTAGAAGGTCCTAAATACTAAATAACATATTAGTGTAGTTTGAACTGTTAAAAAGTGCTTTACTAGCAAGGGCTAGAGGAGCTAGCTTTATAGCTTTGTTAGTAGAGCTTTCGCCTAGAGCACAGCCAGTGGCAAGGAGACATATCGTGAAATAAAATTACCACAATATTACCAAAAGCTAAAAACAAATTTCTAGTGGTGTTGAATACAGAGAAATTTCTGTTTAAGTAACTTTTTACGTTCTCTATTTGTACCTTTATTAGAATAGAAGGGGTATTATATTCTATATTATCAACCATGTAGGCATCTCATGTAAAAATGGGCAAACAATGTTGGTTATATGATTCAAGTATGCTGAAATCAATAAAACATTCTATCCAGCTGTATTTCAAACTTTTAGTGGTGTAATTAAGAATTAAATATGACCGTTATTATATGATATTTGTGTAAATAAGATCATTAATAGATACAAACAATACAGAGCAAGCTGATGTGTGTGTAAGTAAGATAATTGTTAGATACAAACAATACAGAGCAAGCTGATGTGTGTGTAAGTAAGATCATTGTTAGATACAAACAATACAGAGCCAGTTGATGTATGTGTAAGTAAGATCATTGTTAGATACAAACAATACAGAGCAAGTTGATGTATGTGTAAGTAAAATCATTGTTAGATACAAACAATACAGAGCAGGTTGATGTGTGTGTAAGTAAGATCATTGTTAGATACAAACAATACAGAGCAAGTGATGTGTGTGTAAGTAAGATCATTGTTAGATACAAACAA